CCCTGACCACAAGTTCTGAAGATTCTGAGAAACCTCTGGACCAAGAAGGAACGTTTGACTCGGTACATTTTTACACTTATGTTCATTTTGAAAAGCTTACTCAGAAGAACTCTGTCAAAATCAGCTTTAAAATCAACATATACAGCAAGAGTATGTTGTTTGCGTTGGAATCTGTATTTTACATCCTCGCTAAAACAAGCTACTTGCTCAGTTGTACTTCGGTGCTTCCGGAAACCTGCTTGCTTTGATGACATCTTATTTTCCCTATCCAGATATCTCTGCAACCGGGCTTGGACCATTCTCTCACAGAGCTTAGAAAAAACACTTGTGAGCGATATAGGTCGATAGTTAGATGTGCAAAAGGAACATTTACCTTACATCTACCTACCTTACAGCCTTCCTCCAAGCACTAGGATTTTGCATCCTTCACATAGTATTGAGAAAATCTTACATAGTGAGCTTGACTTTTGCATCCAAGTGAATAAGGAACCCTGGTAATATGTCATCAGGGCCACCGTTTTTTCTCATCTTTGTTTGTGGCAGAGCAAGTCCAAGCTCTTCCTCACTGTTCGTCTTCAAAGAGTTGGTTTTCAGAGGAATTCAGAAATAGGATTGGTGGTGTAGTATCAATTTTCTTATTTCCTTCTGCTGGTTTATAGTTAGAGGCCGTGGCAAAGAATTTACAAAAATTCCTTGCTATGGCATGTCCAGAATATATTTTCTTCTTATTGTTATTGAGGATTGTTCTTTGGGTATTTTCCGCCATTTAGCTTTGAGATGAATCTATGTGGTTTTATCCCATCTCTTCGAAAGTCCAGACTAGCCAAATACTCTCTAAAAGCTTTTCTTTTGGCTTGAATTATATTGTACTTAAGGATTGCTGTAAGTTGTCTTAGCCTTACTATGTCTTCCGTTTTTTTTTTACATTTCTATATATTTTTTAACTGCATCCCTACTATCTTTTAGTTTATGTAGATTGTCCTTCCAGAATGGGGAGCATCTTTTCATAAATCCCCGAGGAATGGACTGCTTTGCACAGTCGAGAATTGCCGCTTGAAGTCGGGCGCAGCTTATATCTACATTCTGCGTAATAGTTTCAGGAGTAATGACTATGTGAGTGAGTTGGTAGAATTTATTCCAATTGGCCTTTTTCAAATTCCATCGGAGCATTCGAGGCTCTGATCCATTATGTGACTTTAAGTTGCCATTAAGATAGGCAAGCATTATCGTGAGACCAAATGCTCTAGATGGAGTGCCAACTGTGTGTGAGATCAGAGGATCTATTCGCTGGTGCACCGATAATAGGTCAGGGTGGGAACTACTACTTTTATAATCCATAAAAGTGGGCTTTGAATTTTCGTTTTTCACAAATTCAATCATATTTGTGTTGATGAATTCCTCCAGAGTTTTTCTGGCTGAATTAGAGTTTGTGTAACCCCAGCGTCTGGAGTATGCGTTTGTCTCCGAACACAAGGGATTTGTCACTCATAGAGTCCTCCAAACAACCCAAATTCGGTTTATTATTAGGGGATTATATATGATAAATATTTGGTGGTGGATATTGCTTGACTACAAATTAATTTCAACTCCTATCAATTTATCATTTGAATGCATTTCCTTCTCAACTTGAAACTTGACCGTGAAGAAAGCCCTAACACCAACAAGTAATCCTGATGCTATCTGCCTAGTTCTAGGCAGTGAGGAAATCTGGACATCTGAAGTATTCATGACAATCACTAGCAGCGCCTGCCTCAACAATGCAAAATAGATCAATTTTATTTGAAGATATAAAATGCTTCAATTCTGTGTACTTTTTACTGGTGAGACCCCTGCATTCCAAAAAGAGCCTTTAAGATAAAGTTGTCATGGCCTTGTGAAAGGCCGTTTGCGTTGGCCTGGCTTTGTGCTGGCCGAACTATGAGTCGCAATTGGTGCCACTGGGCGTCTGGCGACTATGTGATTGTTTGGTTCGTTATCCAGGGGCAAGACGATGACGAGATCACACCAACCCCTCTACACAATTGTTAAAAATAGTAAAAAATTATTTTATCAAAAACTGTTCAATTCTATGATAGTTGGTGGTTTTTAAAAATTATTTTATGAATTTTTCATTCATTTCATATATATCCCCATCCCCATCCCCACATATATTATTACAGTAAGGCTCAAAATCGGTTTTGAACCAAATATAAGCTCCTGTCATGCTCAAATAACATGAATGGGGTATCGTTGGATTCAGAATTTCACGGGGGTTTAGCTCCTCTCTACACTTGGTTCCCCCACCACTACATATTTCTCCCCACTCCTTAGCTGAGTTTAGCCGCTCTAAAGTCCTCTTTGAATAGTTTTAACAAAAGCAAACTCTATTTTTATTTATAGTAAACTTTGACTAGTTTTCAGTGAAGCTATCATTAATTACTTAAATTAAATATATTTTTTTATCACTTCCTATTCAACAAAAACGTGACACATAAAAAATCACTTAAATTCACATTTAAAAAACTTTAATTCCCTACTTTCCTCATAAAAATCGGACCATTGTTTGTATAAACTTTTTCGTATTTATTGAGTTTTGTTATCACTCCTTTAAATATTTCTCTTTACTTACGAGACACCCTATATATGAGTTTAGACATGTAAAAAACTAAATTGCTAACACGGGTCACCAAGAGAAAACTTTTTAGAGCCAAAAATTCTAGATTTATCTGATCTTTTTTTTTTTTTATATATCACCACTAAACATTGCATCAAAGCGAAAAAATTATTCGTTAAGAAATCAAAAAGCGTTAAATTATTCGTTGAACGAGTACCTAAACTTAATAATTTGATTAAGTGATATGGTCGATAACCACGGTCAATGAACGCTAATATTTACAAATATTGTCAAAATCTGAGAAAGATTACTATAAATGGCTCTGCGACTTTGAAATGAGTTCTCTAAGAAAGAAAAAACTCATAATCAAATTCAGGTCAAACCGGCGACCAAATAATTATTACATTTGCTCAGAATACATTCCCAACAGCAGCTATTTTAATAAAAAAACAAAACATTCTAATGAGAAATATACAAATTATTATCGTGACCCGTTTTATGATTCGCATGGATTCTTCAAGGAGATTATAGTTGCTGGGTTGCAATGCGTTCAGATCTATTGAAACTGAGTAAACATTTGTGCGGAAGAAAACCCGTATTTTCTGGTACTCGAATAGAAGGTGGTTCTCATAAATGAAGTTTTTTTAAAAATACATTTTCCTCCATCATGTACTTCACCTGCGACTCAGTTTGGAGTCAATAGGGACATACTGCGAAAGGAGCAAAATCCTTTGCCTTTCTCACCATCCATGGGAGGTTGCGCCCCCTAGCAGAATTCGCTAGTGCTGGCCACGATAATAATTACTTTTTTATATTACATTAGGAAATCGTGTATGGAGATTAATTTTCCCTACATTTCTCTTTTCTTTAAATAGCTGTTTTTGTTACTTTTTTCATATTTTTTCCCCCATCCAAGGGAGGGCATACCCCTTGGTAGAATTCGCTAGTGGTGGTAACGATAATAATTTTTTTTTATATTATATTAGGAAATTCATCGTCTATGAGTATGAATTTTCCCTCTATTTCTATTTTCTTTAAATAGCTGTTTTTTGGATTTTTTTTCCAGCCTCCAGAGGAGGGGACGCCCTCCCCCGCGCTGCTCGGCAGGATCCGCTAGTGCCCCCTAGTAATATATAAAAGAGGTTTTAGAGACTTTTATTTTACTTTAGTTGTAGTTGAGTATGAGGTAACAGGAGCAAAATTTTTCATACTGTGATTATACAGCTGTTCATTTAATTAAATATTTGTTGAGCTCCAGTAACTTCCTAGGCTTCTAATACAAAATAAAGATTTAGACTAAAAATTTGCATGAGAAATAGTTTTTTTTTATGTTGATAAAAAAACACATAATATTAAATACAAAATAAATGTAAATTAAAGTTATTCGTTTTGAGCAATGAGTAGTACAATTAAATGAACAGTTGTATAATTTGTAAAATGGGGATTGGTCCGCTGATAAACCGGCGGAGGTACCTCCCCCTAGTTTTTTATATAAAAAAGTTTTTAGTGACTCATATTTATTATTATCACTTATGTGAAGTGGCACTTCCAGTAAGCTAATTTTAATGAAAAAGTTGCTGTCACATCTAAGGCATATTCCTATCTTAAATACGTAATATCAGTTTCTTAGGACTTTTCGTTTTTGAGCTAGACTGTTCACATACATACACACAAACAGACCATTTTGCGGGACTTGGTTATATGGACTCAGGAGACCTCAAAACAATTATTTCCGTCGAAAATTTTCACGATCACAATACTGTCCTTACTAAATATTTTATATATAGGTAAGTGAAAGTAATGACATGTGATGCTGTGCCCACACTACAGGCAAGCTGAATCACTAGCGGATCCTGGATTTAATTTTTGGGGGGAAGGGAACTTCAGCCCGAAAGCTTTTTTTCTTAAAAATAACGATAGTTACTTAGGAAAAAAAGAAAGAAACTACCTATATGAAATGGTGTTTAAGTGATTCCTAGTCATTTTAAATGTAATTACACTAACAATAATACTTTAAGAGATAATTTTTTTCCATAAAATAAGGTTATATTTTACCAGCATTGGGGGAGGGGGCTTCAGCCCCAAAGCCACCCCATAGATCCGCCCGTGAGCTGAATGAATTACATGTATATATATAACATCCATATAACAGTTGCATTTCACCATCCACTGTCAAAATTAAAGATTAAGTATTAGCTTTTTAAAGCATCTGTTTTTATTAACAAGTTGTATTTTTGATTTTTTTTTCCACACATTTAACTGTGAACAATTTTGAAAGTTAGAAGGAAATATGATTTTACTAGTGTCTATTTTTTATCTTATTTTTCTGAATAATTAAGAATATAAAACCAATTTATATTTCAAAATTTGTTTATACCTTGTTTATACATTCTCCACATATAACCTATATATAACCTTTAGTTCATAAGATAAGGTTACAGTTGACCCTAAAATATAGAACAAAAGTAAGAATGGATGAATTACAAGCTAAACTTCAAGCTGAATTGGATAAATTCAAAGCTGTCGAAAAAGGTAATGAATATGCAGTATTAAATTATTCATTTTTTATTATTTATTGTTCATCGTATACTGATAAATTGCCTAAAAGTAGGAGGTTATATTAAAAATGCAGGCACATTTTTATATATTTATTTGTTTTGCTTCTTATTTCAGAATATCACAAAGCTGTGTCTCAAAGGCAAGTTTTGGATGGACAGCTACATGAAAACACAGGTGTTAAGCAAGTTAGTATAAGTTGATAATATATCACAGCTTCCTCTCATCCTAAAACAATAACAGCTAACCTGTTTTTTTTTGTTCTTTTTAGGAATTAGATCTTTTAAAAGATGATGGGGAGGTGTATAAACTAATTGGTCCAGTGCTTGTTAAACAAGATTTAACTGAAGCTAAACAGAATGTTGCCAAAAGAATGGATTATATTAAGGGAGAATTGTAAGTATTCACTAATGATTAAGACATGTTCCATTCTGTTAGATACTGAATCTTCCTAATCATATTGAAATAATATAGATTAGGACCTTTTTTACTTGAGGCCCTAGATATATTAGGAATTCAGAGAGTTTGTTGTTTAGTAATTGAAAAATTACTCCAAACAGCTTGCCTTTTAAAGCAATAAGATAAGTTGGTTATTTGATCATTTTTGTTTCTGGATTATTACCTACCTGGCCAATTCTGGTATTGGTGAGATGTTCTAGAGGTACAGCCAAACCTTTTCTAAAAAAGTGGGAAGGTCAAGATTCATTTTGTGGATCCGTCACAAAATAATCCATTCTATTCAATCCACCCAAGCCAGATTCATACTGGCATAGGCTCGAGGATGCTAAAGTTTATGCTTTTAGATTTATTTGACCATTATGGTTTGTTTTTTTATCAAGTCTGGTCTTGGATCATATTTGTAGTGTTTGAAATTTGGGTACTAGTTCACAAGAGTTCCGCATGGATTACAGTTGGTTCACAATCACTTCGATCACACTTGTTCATGGAATCCCGAAAACAGCCGAATGTTGTCGTCTTTTATGACATCAGCTAATGCCCCATCACACAATTCCTTTTCATGTATTTTTGAAAAAAAAAACAACGTATCCCCTTCATTGTACTTCATTATTAACAATTTATTAACAAATTCTGTATTTACTAATTGATTAATTATTAACTTTTATTATAACGGCTATCACTGTGAAAGAAAAAGAAAAAAAATACATAAAATTATGTTTGAGTCGTTTCTTCAAGGCCTGTTAAAAAATTCTTTTAGAAATAACATTTTTATTGACACGTAGTGTCTGTAAATACGCATATACTGTATATTATCTTTTATTACTGTGTATAAAAGATTTTTTTATCATTTGGATAATAAATAATTTGAAGTAATCTATTATCTTTTTATTTGTTAATCGAGTTTTTCAATAGAAGTTGGAATTGCATTTATAATTTATTTTAGCATGCCTTTTTTAGTTTATGTCATCTATCTAGTTTATGTAATTTTTTAGTTTTCTAATAATATGAGCGTCCACTATTTTCTAGAGAGGGGGAGCGCTTTGTATGCATATACTGTTTGATTTGAGATTAAGCATCGAGTTTATGTAACTTTTTTGAATTCTTAAATATACGGATCCACTATTTTCTAGTTGTCGGAGCTTTTTATGAATATACTGTCAGATTTAAAATTGTTCATCGATTTTTGAATTTCTTAGATATAAGAGTCCACTATTAAGTTGTCAAGGACGCTTTTTATGAAAATAATGTCAGATTAAAGGTTTAAGATATATTTATGAATATACTGATAGTTCCAAAATAATGAATAATGAAAATCATCAATAAGTAAAATAATATCGTGAAATAACATTCAGAGACGTAATAATTAAAGATTTTTATCTACTACTATTTCTTTTTTACAGATCTATAATATATGTACAAGTTCAATTCAGGTTTCATGATGTGTAGCCTAAACTTCGAATGTAAGTCGGCTCCTGCTATTTAACTAAAGCTGGTTAAAGTTATAGAAGTACTTAAATAGCGGGAAAGTTAATAGTAACTGGCCCAAGAGATCGGTTGCCTTCGTTCTCTTTCGGATAAACCCGAACCCATTCGGGATTCCAGGAACATGTGTGATCGAAGTGATTGTGAACCATGCGTAATCTGTGCAGAACTCTTGTGAACTAGTACCGAAATTTGATATTGTCAGGAAGTGATTTTAAAAGTTTATAGTATTTAGTATCCATTCTATGATTTCTTTCCCATTAAAAATCATGGGAGTCAATCTCTGATCTGTTTTTTAATAATATTTTTTAAATGAATATCTGTATAGTCTCCGTTACAAGGGAACACAAGAGAAGAAAAGGAAGAACAATTACAAAATGGTAAGACAAGATAGTTCAAAGAGTAGGAGACTGTTTGTTTATGGTGGCTGCCTATAATAGGGACCTATGGACTATAGTAATAAAGAACTTGTAGTAAATTATTTGTAGCTGTGTCCAAATATAGTATAGAAAATATTTTATTTAATTGTAGGCAAATTATTATTTTATTTTAAATTAATGTCAAAAAATTTAGTCATTGAAGTATTGGATATTATGTTAATTGTTTATAAACCAAACTCATACCTTCCAAGGAATGTAAATAAAGCTGTAATTATTATTAAAACTTCATCAATGGCTTTATCTTATTGTAAGCTATAACTTTTTTATTTATGAAAATTCTCAGAAATGTTTCTTATTAAATTACTTAATTAAATTAAGTAATAAAAGTTCATGAATAACCGTTTCCTTTCCATTTGAAGCATAAGATAATTTGATCACAAAATATTCTGTACTCCGGACTAGTACCTTAATACCATTGTTGGTTTTGCTGTAGAGATATTCCTCCACATTGATGAATAGGCACAAGATCTCATAATCACACTACAAATGGAATCTCCACAATGGTAGATTATTGATGTGTTCATGAGTATAATTTCCTTTATTTAGATTGGCATTATGACTTCCGAAAACTTCCAATTGGTCCTTTCAGTTACAATTGGAGCCTTACTTACCTTGCTGGTTTCGACTTCTGCTCACTCAAAAGGGATTAACAACCCCCCAATGGGCCCTTTTCAGTTATTATTAAGATTATCTTACAAGATGGTTCGGTCAACTCTATCAATGTTTTGATATACTTGATATTGATTTGAGTTTTACTCAAATTGAATCACTATTGGGAATTCAATCAGTGCTTCAGTTAATTGTTTGACATCAACTGAAGTAGTAATTAAATTCTTGGGTAGTTAAAAATGGTCAGTATTCGAGTAAAATATTCGGTACTCAGTACTCAGAGTAGTATTTGCCCATTTCTTGGTGTCAGCAATTATTTTTCGATCTAGAAGTTTTTCCTCCTATTATTATTATAATGGGACTATGGTCCTGCAAGAACCCGGGCCTCCTCTACTACAGCCACCAATCTTCACGGTCTTGTGCTACTTCCCTCCATCTTCGAACGCCCAGCTGCTTCAGATCGTCTTCAACATCCTCAACACTTACAATGTGATGATGAGATCTTGTGACCACCCATCAAAGTTAATCAACACTTGTACTGTATTATCCTATCCTCTCTATGATTTAGATTTGATAGAAATTGCCTCATGGTTTTCTAAGCAGATGATATAAATATAAATTACATTACATTTAAGGAAGGAGTGCTGTATGTTTTTTTTAATAGTTGATAATCATTTAGTGTTTTTTTTTTTTCAACACATTCTTTAGTCTTATTTTGTTAAAAGGAGTTTTAACTTCTTTGTAGATTTTGTGTCCAGAAAGAGGAATACTGTTTAACCTTATCTTTGTTAACTATGATAGTGGTGTATTTGGTTATTGCTGATGTCATTGTTTTACAGCTACTATCAATGTTTCTGTCGACTAATCTGGGGGTTACTAGTTATTCAGAGAATTGGGTGTACTTTTTATCTATTTTATTCAGATTTCGCTGTCAGTGTTTTCGTTGTTAATAATGAGGGTACTTACTTATTGAACAAACATAAATAACGAGCAATTTGTGATAAATGCTCCTGGTAGAGCAGCAAGTGTGTGTGATGTCTCGTTGAGGACTTGGGAATCATAGGAGATTTGGTTTGTTGTTTTGCAGATTATATACTAAGATAAATTGCTTGTGGAATCTGTCTTCCCTGATGTTGATCTCCAATGCTTCTCAAGTTTTTCACTACTATCCATTGTTTTTTATCTATTAATTTCACTGTAAGAGAAATGCGTGAAGCCACTGTTATTTTCCTAATGCTACCTACTTAGCTATTAGAAGATAATATATCTCAAAATTTAGTAGTTGTAAGGGGCTAGCCTTGTCAGAAACTAAGAACAGTACTAGCTTCTACAGTACTGAAGAAGTCAATGTTCAGTCAATGCAAACCTGTTTTAATTCAGTGTAATTTGCATTTGTAAGACAATGTGCATTCCAAATAGACATATACTTATAATAAGTATCCACACTATCCACCTTAATTAAAATTACCACTCATATTCAGACTGCGATAGATGATAAAAAATTAACTGTCCTTCTACTTCTTGGATTCTCCAAAGCCTTCGATCCATTAACCATTCCATCCTTTTCAACAAACTAAAATCATTATCCTTCTCCAATAGTAACATCACTTGGTTCCAATCTTTCTTCTCACAATGTACCCAAGCAGTTTCTATACTGAACCACTATCTGCCTATCTCTTCTGTTCATTTTTCCTACTTTTGGGGTCTTGAAGTTTTTTATTTTTTACAATAAATTAGGCCAATTTTCAATTACAGTCCCTCCAGAAATGACGTGGGTGGAAGCCCCTATATAACATGACAAGTTAATGTTACTCATCATATGTGGCACGACATCCCGTTACCGAGACTGGGCCTCCTCCAAGAGCCTCCGCCAGTTGGCTCTGTCTTCTGCTGCAGCTCTCCAGTTCCGTACACCAAGAAGGGTTCTCGCATCATAGGCCACGTTGTCCAACCACCTCGTCCTCGGCTTTCCTACCCGTCTTACGAGGTGCAGCTCCTCCATCATTATTTTCTTTGGTATTTCAACGGTGCTCATTCTGGCCACATGCCCTGCCCACCTTAGTCTGGCCAGTTTAATATACGTGACTACGTCGATGTCTGTATAGAGAGAACTGAGCTCCCTATTTTTTCTTTTCCTCCAGACATCACCCTCCTTTACTGGACCATAAATCCTTCTGAGGACTCCTCGCTCAAACACACTCAGCTTCATCTCATCGTTTTTAGTCATCGTCCAAGCCTCTGAGCCATATGTCAAAACAGGCCGAACAAGGGTCTTGTATATGATCAGCTTGGTCTTCTTTGAGAGGTACCTACTTCTTAAGTGTCGGCCAAGTCCAAAGACACATCTATTGGCAGCCGTGATCCTTCTTTGTATTTCTTGAGCCATGTCATTTTTGCTATTAATTTCAGACCCAAGGTATATAAAACTTTTCACTCTCTCAAACTTAAAAGAACCTACCTCAAATGGAGAGTTCAGATCCACCTCACCACCAACTCTCATATACTTAGTTTTCCTCTCGTTGACTTCTAGACCAAGTGGTCTTGCAGCTGCTTCAAGGCCTATAAACGCTTCTCTGAGAGCCCGTTCAGACCTACCTATTATGTCAATATCATCAGCAAAACCAAGAAGCTGTGTCAGGCGATTGAAGATTATATCGTTGGTCTGAATACCGGAGTCTCTTACAGCTTTCTCCTCTGCCAAGTTGAACAATAGACAGGCGAGGGCATCCCCTTGCCTAACCCCACTGCTCACTTTAAACTCTTCGGAGTCGTCAGAACCGACGCGTATTCTACATCTCGAGCTGTCCATGGTCATCTTGATTAGGCGTACGAGCTTCTGAGGGATGCTTAGCTCCTCCAAGGCACAGTATAGTTGCGTTCTATCAACGCTGTCGTATGCTGCTTTAAAGTCCAGGAATAAATGGTGGGTGACTACCTTACGCTCCATAGTCTTTTCTAGGATCATCCTCAGAGAGAACAGTTGATCAGTGGTTGAGCGTCCTCTTCGAAATCCAGCCTGATATTTCCCCAGTTCCTTTTCAGAATACGGGAGGATCCTCTCAAAAAGAATGTTAGAGAGCAGCTTATAAGCACACGAAAGGAGTGAGATTCCTCGATAGTTAGCGCATTCTGTTTGATCTCCTTTCTTATGTATTGGGCAGATAATGGCTGTTGCCCATTCCGTAGGCATAGCTTCCCTCTCCCAGATGGTCAGCATTAAATCATGCAGAGCTTTCTTGAGTTCTTCACCTCCACATTTCAACAGCTCTGACTGGATTCCGTCCGGGCCTGGCGCCTTTCCATTTTTCAATTTCCTCAGGGCGTTTTCCATTTCCTCCTCATCCGGGGGTTCAATAGAATTCAGGGAGTCTTCCTTGATTACTCCTACTTCTCCAGGCACCGTTCCTCTGTTTAATGCGTCTTTGAAATGTTGTACCCATCTCCTTAGTACGTCATATTTGTGGCTTAAAAGAGTTCCATTCGTGTCTTTGCATGCCGTCACTCTGGGCCTGAAAGCTGCCCTACCCTCGTTTATTCTCTGAAAGAACAGCCGACTTTCATTTTGGCCGCGCAATGCCTCTGTGTCCTTCATGTTCTTATTTTCCCATGCTCTTCTCTTTCCGCGGAATAATCTCTTCTCTTCGCGTCTTTTTCTTCCATATGTTTCTTGGGAGAGCCTTGTGGGACGCTGAACCTTCTTTCTGTAGGCTTCATTTTTCACTTTTACTGCTTGAAGGCACTCAGCATCAAACCATGGGGCCTTCTAGATTTAGTCTCGTAGCCAAGAGATTCTTCTGCTGCCTGTTTCATTGCGTTGCTGCATCTCTTCCACTGTTCATCGACCATAGAGCTGTCATTAATTACTTCTTCATTAAGTTTCGTCTCCACAGCTTGTTGATACGAATATTGGTGGTCTGAGTCCTTAAGTTTAGCTACATCAATCTTCTTCTTTGGTCGTTGGTGGTGGTTTTTAATCAGCGAAATTCGTGATCTGACCTCGGCAATGCTCAAATAGTGATCCGTGTCCATATTTGCACCTCTATAAGATCTTGCATTTATCATGTTGGAAGTTAATGTTACTGGACATATTAATTACAACATTAATGATGAACATATAACGGAGGACTCACCAAGTTTTGAAAATGACCCTTAGTATGGTCGAAACGTCAAATTAATGTGTATCAATAAAATAATGGTGAAAATTGGCCTATTTTATTGTAAAAAATAAAAAATATCTGCCTATATTTCTTTATCTTATTAAGATTGAATGCTGCTAAAACTCAGGCTATTGTCATTGGTTCCAAAAATTGGTGTAATATAGATATTAAATTTATTTTCTCATTACTCTTTTTTTGGAGGGAGGGGGGGGGACGGGGGATGTGCTTATTTGTTGAATACACTGAGGCTCTGGAGGAGAAAATTATCTTCAAAATGATGGCATGGCTCATTCACTGGATTTGATGAAATATTAATGAAGATATGGCATGCTGACAAAAAAACACCCTTGAGAAATGATATATAAAGATAAAATAATTTATCCAGCTGTTTACTAATTGTAATAGTTATGCTTAGAATGTTAGAAATTGAGAGTAATTATTGTAATTTATGGTAGAAATAATTTTCAATGTATTAAAAGCTTTTAATTTTTATTAATAAAGTAAAGTAAAATTGATTGCAATTTTTTATTTAATAGTAATACAAACTATAACCATTTATACTTAAACATTAAAATTAAAGGTATTTTTCAATAATTTAAGCTTGGGTTATTAATATGTTTGTTGTTTTTATCTAGGAAAAGGTTTGATGACTTAATTGCTTCTCTAGATTCCAAACAAGAACAATACAAAGAAAAGTTATCCAAGTTACAAGTACAATTTCAGCAAGAACAAGTGAAAGCTGCCGTTAAAGCATAAAATTACCACAGATGTTTCCTATTTTTTCTAATACTATATAAAATTAATTTTTACAATTGAAGTGCATAATTAATAACAATATTAATGTAATGCTTTCTCTGTTAATTTGTTTTTTTATATAAATATAACATAGCTAAATTCTATTTTAATCTATATTGAAATATAGATTCTAAATATTTTTTTTAACCCCTTTTACAGTCCCCTAGTCTTTAAGTCTTTCAGGTAGTTTGATTTAAAACAGCAACAACAAATAAATTTATTGATTGTTACCAATGATTTATGATTGTAATATGTATTATTTAAAATACAATTTTTACCTGAGGTATTATATTAAATAAATACAAATACAACTAATACTAATCAAAGCAATTTTACCTTAACACCGATAACAGCCTTCTTTTGCACAGAGAATTCAATCACACATTCAAAGACTAATTCGAACTAACTTGACTTTTAAATTACACAGTGTGTCCCGTAAGTAGAGAGAAATATTTAAAAGGTTTGATAGTAGACATCAAGATCTAAAAAAAAATTTATAAATACCTGTCCAAGTTTTAGCAGAAAAGTAGGAAATTTAAGATTTGTATTTTTTTTATGCGAGTCACGTTTTTTGTTGAATAGAAAGCAATAACTATAAAAAATTTGACTCAAGTAATTAAACATTACTCCATAGTAAACTAGTTAAAATTTACTTCTAAGGAAAGTAGAGTTTGTTATTTTTATAACCATTTAAAGAGAAAAAATTGAGCGGACAAACTCAGCAAAATTCTGTTTAAAATGTATTGTAATAAACATAATTGCCTAAAAACAGATTTTATTTATAAATAAAAAAAAATTAAAAATAACAATTTTTCAAATAATTTTCATGTAAGGTGGTTATGAAATTGTGTTTTTTGCCGTATTGTCATAGGAATTAATGCTTTTTTATAAGTTACAAACTTAATATTTCTAGCCCTGATATTTAAGTTTTCATGAAAATAATTGAAGCAATCAGTAGATTTCTTTATTTTAAACTTAAATTTTAGTTAGAAAAAGTTTGTCGCTAATAAATGTCCTAATAAACCTCAACTTAATTAATATAGACTTAAAGCATATTAAACGTCAAAGTTTTTCTAAAAGTGATGTAACTGTAGTACGATTAAAAGACGATATAAAAAAAAAAAAAAAAAATTTGACAATTACAAACTTTACTTTCATTTAAAGTAAATTTTGTCTGTCTAGTTTATAATGGAGCAATTTTTAATTACTTAAAAACATTTTTAATTTAAAAAAAAAATCTTTTTAAGTTATCGCTTCCTATTCAACAAAAAACATGACTCGCTTACAAATCTCAAATTTCCTACTTTTCTGCTGGAAATTGGACAATTGTTTATATGAACTTTTTTGTAGATCTTGGTATCTACTATCTACCTTTAACATATTTCCTTCTACTTACAGGACACCAACCCTGTATATTCTACTACTATTAACTGAACTCAATATTTATACCATATACTGAACTTATCTTTTATTGACCATAGATAAATGAATAACTTATTACAGAATTTATCACCTGTAGTAACTCTCTGGGCTGCATAAATATGCTATATAAATCTCTGTAATACATATTTTATTTTTTATAGAGGTAAATAAATATTTACATACCAAATTTTAAAATATTTTAATTATTATGACGTTCTGCTGTTAATTTAATTATAGAACAAAAAAATTATTACTAATAACAGACCTTTATTTTATCTAGTAAATTATTCCATAATGAATAAATATATATAATAATAATTTAATTTGTAGTAAATTAATCATTTTATTTACACATCTTGTCTCTTACTTTGTGATTATAACTTAAATGGATGTTACTAATATAATTTAGTATTGTAGGAAGTTTTTAATCTTAAAGATGATACAAAAACCAAACTAGCATTCAGACCAAATTACTTCTTATAGGTTAATTAGTGTTTTACTATTATTTTCTTAATTATTTCAAACATTATTGTTTAAGTGGTTCTGTCTATTCATTCATTGAAAAGCAAACACAGTAATTCCTTATCACTATTAGAACATGCACACTACAAATACAATATGCATAGGTGGGGAACCACTGCCTTGGAGGATGCATATGGCATCTGTGACGCAGGTGCTGCCTCCAAACGGTATTGTGCAATATTTATTAATCTAGTGATAAAATTAATTATGTAAGTACCAGCAATTTGGAAATTAATAGAATGAAGTTGAATGTATGCATGTGGGTGAATGAATGTATTTTGTAATAAATAAAAGTAGCAACGGTAAAATATAAAGAATTATTGCGGCCTCCATTGGCACTCTCTAACTACTGCGCCCTCTAATGATAAAAAGGTTCCCCACCTATGCCATAAAGTAATTAAATTAACTGGCGTGGTATTGGAAAAAAAAGGAATATCACACAGGAGCATTCTTAGACGTCACACAGCCCTTGGATGAGGTGATGGCCTCCTTAGATAAGTTGAATCAATTCTACTGCATACCTATTATTTAATCAGAAACTAAAAATCGGGTCTGCATACTGTATGCAGAAAAATTGTTTACCATTTCTTCCTCTGTGTAATAACTTATAATTCAAAATTTTATCTTAACTCGACGCCGTGTTAGAGAGGCGAAAAAAAAAATATAGTGTCGAAAACCAAATGATGAGATTAATTGAATATATGGATTAAAATATTTCCGATACTAATAATCGGATCTGTATACTAAAAGAGAGGGAAGTGTTCAGCATTTTTAGATTGACCTTCCTTTGATGTCTATATTTCATGTAATAAACTTTGTTATTAACCTTATCAAACGAAATTAAACTAATTAATCCTAACTACAATACACCTAGAATACATGGATTAGTAAAGTTACATAAAAGTGGCTTTCTACTTAGTCCTATCATTAGTAATATCAATATGGAAACTGAAAAATTTGGCTAAATATCTAAATTCCACACTCAATAACCTAAAATCAGATATTACCAATGATGTAAAGATGTAAAAAAAACTCAATGGAGATGGATTTAATACTTGAAAGAATAAATAAAATAGACATTGATCTGTTTTGATGTAGAAAATTTATTTACCAATATCAACTGGAAAGATGTAATAAAAATAATTGAAAAATACTGGAATACAATAGAAACGCATACACAAATTAAAGGGTTTAGTCGAAGATATGGATTAAAATATCACAGAAGTTAAAAATCGGACCTGCATACGTAATGCGAGAGAAATGTTCAGCATTTGACCTTTATAATGAGCTAGTATTTATAATTTATATTTCATATTATTAATGTTGAGGATCGGACAAATTTTTTGTTAAACAGGATAGTAAACAATCTGATTGTTGTCAAAGCGGTGCAGGAGTGCTTAGAGCATTTCAGGAGCAGTTCTGTGCCCAATTTACTTTTCCAACATTATACAGATACCAAACATATTACTTTCTACTTAAACAGATGACAGTTTTTATAATTTGAACATTCTAATCACATTCTCGCAAAATCTTCAATATCATATTAATTTACTACTAGAAATTTAACTAACAAAAATCAAATCAGGTTTATATTTACTCTTAGACATTCAGAGTACCCTTCAGCGACTCTTCTGCAGATCTTTTTTACCTTAGTATTTTCACTTATTTAGAACTGTTTGATTTGTCAAATACACGTGGTTTAATAAATTGTTCGATGGCACTAATGATTTTATAATCTGAATGATAAACTTATTTTTTTATTGAGCGTATGAAATTAAAAAAAAAAAATTGAGCTTCTTAAAATTAAACATTTTTTCACAATAAATGAAGGGCATCAAAATGATGATGAATAAAGTAAATTACACAGAAAAAGGAAATTTTCCGAGAACAATATATGAAATTTTACATTTACAAAAATGGTAAATATACAGCCTTGGCCAAAAGTATTAGGCACCCATATATTTTATTAAAACAAAGTAAAGAAGGATAAAAATAACATTTACTTTCCTCACTTATGTTTATTTAAACATAAAAAAGTCAAATTAATATTCTGTGATCAAGCCTTTGGTTTTTATGACCTCACTTTTTTGTTATAGAAAAATAAGTCTTGAACAATCTTCTTAGTCTATTTTTTCCCACTCTTCTATTAAAAATGGAAACAAGTTGTCTCTCTTTGTTGGATGATGTTTACAAACATAAATTTTTAATGTAGAGCACAAGTGCTTAATCGAAATGAGCTCAGCCAGTGTCTTAATATTGTATTTTTATAAATTATTCTTTACTTTTGTGTGAAATGTGGCATAGCACATTATTCTTTTGAAAAATAATGTTTTCTCTGTCATCAAGTACAAATAATTTTTTAAATGAAGGCTTTAAAGTTTGATTTAGCATTGATATGTAGGTATCGCTATTCATCCTCCCTTTGCATAAAAACATTTCTCCAACACCCGAAGCCCCTATACAGCCCCAAATTATTATATTTCTCCCACCAAGTTTTACTTTAAGAACAACACAATCTGGATAATTGGCTTGGCCTTCCGTCCTTCATACAAATACGGCACCTGGATTTGAAATTTTAATGAATTTTTAAAAATAATTGTATTTGTGTGTATTAAGTTTATTTTAGGGAGTTTCTGCAAATTTTAATTTCAGTATATTATAATTTAATTACCTCAAAGTTATTTTCATCAGACCAAACAACCTCTGCTCTATTTTGAGCACTCTGGTTTTAGTGAAATTTTGCCCAGTTAAGTCTCTTTTTTTCGATTGACTTCACTTAGCCATAGTTTCTCCCTGTGTCTCTGGGCCAGAACCCCTTACCATGCATCCTACCACATCCCTATAAATTGCATATCGTTGTGTTCCTTGTAACTATTTATTAAAAAAAAAACCAATGTTCCAAAAAAAAAAGGTGAATGCACTATCCCAAAATAGCGTCCAAAGATGACAGACTGACGACTTTGACTTGAGTTAGTTTTTTTGTCACTGAGAATCAGCATTTGGCTCAATTTCGTCATAATTGGCCTTTTATCAATGCTGGATAGTCAGAGAATAATAAAACATGAATCTATATTAAAAAATAATTGGCTTAGGTAATAAAAAACACCAGTAAAGTAACTTTTTCAAAAAATTATTTTCAAGTCGAAAATCAAGCATCGT